CTCTGGGCTCCCAGACCAGGGCCTCGCCCACTGCCAGCCTAACTGCAGCCAAGGCTACTTCTGAGGGATAATTTGAGGGTGCCAGGAAGAGTTCCTCCTCCCCACACAAGGGTGTGCCTCCCCAGGCTGCTGGTGACACCTGGAATCCCTCCAGAGGGCCCAGGTCATGAGCCCTGGGTTCAGGCCCACCATCTCCTCTCCACCCTCCCGGGACCCTCCTGCCCGGGCTTCCTTGCCTTAGGAAATGCACAAGCAGCCAGAGGCTGGCTCTGAGGAGGCTGTGGAAGGAGGCTGGCTCTGAAGCAGCTTGGAAGGAGGCTGCCCCTAAACCTGACCATGCCGGGAACAGAGAGACAAACCAGAGGCAGCAGAGCCCAATAAGACCTGTAGCCAGATTGGTTTTAATCAGGCTCCACGCATACTAATTGTGTGACCTTTGGGAAGGTCTAATTGCTGTGGGCCTCAGTTTTCTCAGTTACAACATGGGGATGAGAGTTACTATCTGGCAGGGCTGTTGTGGGGACTCCGTGAAGTAGATATTGCTGGTATTTGATGAGGTAGGGGGCTGGGCGCCCAGAAGGGGCTATCGGTGGCAGCTGGGATTATTATTGAGTCTGGAGTCGGACAGAGCTACTGGACTTTATGCCTGTCCAGTCCTTGCTGGACCACACTGGTTCCTTCATGATCCTGCAGTCTGGCATGAGGCCTGGCCAGGGTGCCCAGTACCTAAGGTCTGTTGAATTGTATGGAGTTCTGTGGCAGCAGAACTGACCCCAGTGGTTGGGTGATGTAGGAAGAAAGATACAGTGTAAGGTACCTGAAGGTAGAAGGAAGCCGTGGAGATGTGGGGAGTTCTCTGGAAGTTTACAAGCAGAAGCTGGGTGGATACTGGGCAATGATGCCATCACCGAGAGTCACGTAGATTCACTGAATTTATGTGCCTGGGGAGAATGTCTAAGTTGGAAGGCCTCTCACAGGCCCTCAAGTCTACCCCCTCAACACATACATGGGGAGACAGGCCCAAAAAGGGAACAGAATTACCTAAGGTGAGTCAATGCCAGATCCAGGACGAGGAGCAGGGCTCCTGTCTCTGCAGAGAGAGGACTGGTGCTATTACAACCATTTTATAAAAGGGAAGACTGAGGTCTGGGGAGAGGTAGAAACTTTCTGAGGTTACCAAGAGAGTGCGTGAGAGACCAGAATCTATGTCTCTGGCTTCAGGGCTCCCCCATGGCTGCCTGGCTGGAGTAGGACCAGAAGCCTGATCCCACCCCCAGCAAGGCTGGAATGAATCCTTCCTGGGCCCTTCCTGGGGCCATTGAGCAGTGTCTCCTGGCTGGAAAAGATACCAAAGCACGCACTAGCTCTGAAGTCTGTTTCGTCTGCGAAAACACCAGGTCCTGGAGGAGAGGCCTGCCAGGCGCTGACGACCCACCCACTGTGCATCTGAGGAGGAACCTGGGCTCAGAAAGGGGAGTGGTGGCTGCTCCAAGATCCCATGGCCACGCTGGCCAGGCCAGGCCTGGACCCCAAGGCTAGACTCTCTCAGGAGAGGGACAGAAACAGACAGACCGAGACAGAGATGCCAGCTCAGACGGGAGAATGTGCTCCCCCGGCAAAGTCAGAGCAGTAGGGAGGAAACTTCTGCAACCACTTGGCAAATGCAGGCAGCTCCTGGCAGCCCTAGCTCTCCACAGTCAGGAGCCTTTGAGCACTGGGAGAGAAACAGCTTGGATTTGTTGCGTTCTGTGAGATCCCCACCGTTCTCTCAGGGGATCCTCCCACCACCAGCCTCTACCTTCCCAGTCACTGCACTCAGTGACAGCAGCAAACGCCTCTAACTCCACACAGCCCTCCTGCCTTTGCACAAGCGGCTCTCTCTGCCTGGAATGCTGCCCCTCCCTTGTCCCCCTAACTCTTCCTTGCCTTGTACTTCTCAGCTGATGCTTCTCTGAGGCTTCCCAGGTCCCCGAGCCAGCCCGGCCTACTCCCTGAAGCAGATCAGATGCCATCTGCCCTGGCTTCCCCAGTCAGAGTGCCTCCTTCCCTCTGTCACAGTGCAGGTCACACCCGCAGTCACTGTCTGCCTCTGGCACCAGAGGGGAAGCCTCTATCAAGCAGGGTTGGGCTCTAACCTGAGGCAACATCCCCAGTTGCAGAAAAGGGCTGACCACAGAGGATCCACAATTTCCACCCTCTCTCCCTCCCTCTCTCCCTTCCTTCCTTCCTGCCACAAATACCGACTGAACTCCTGCTGTGTGCCAGGCACTGTTCTAGGTGCAGGAGCTACAGCAATCAACAACACAAAGCAGTGAACAAAGTCCCTGCTCCATGACCGCCACTCTAGGAGGGGATGAGGAAGCAGACAACAGTGACAATACAATCAATAATCCAGAGAAGTATGAGTGGTGACAGGTGCTATCAGAAAGTAAAACCACATTTATTGAACTCAGAACTGCAGACAGGGAAACCAGGGGTGCAGACAGGTACAGTGGGCAGGAAGTAGGAGCAAGGTAAATTTCAGACCCTCTGGGCTCCTCTGTTATCTTCCCTCTCAAGGGCTGCCAGGCGCTGGGGGAGGCAGGCATGTGGGAAGGAAGCCTTGGGGCCCCCCTGGAAGTGCCAGACGTCTCTCCCACCCACAGACATACTTCCTGGCTCTCCAGGAATTTGATTCAGCAACAGTAACTTAGCAGTTCCTTGTGAAAGTCACAAGAACTCCCTTGAGAGCTCCAGGGGTGGAGATGGCCTCTCACTGAGCCTGCCAACAGCCTGGCGAGGTGGGCATGATTAGCCTCCCATCAAAGGAGGGCCCAGGGTCACACGGTTGGTCGCTGGTCCGGCTGAGATTTGAGCCTAGGTCAGGTGACTGCTGGGCCCATGGGCCTCCCACCACCCCCCATAGCCTCCCAAAGCCTTGGAGGGCAAGCAAGTGGTCCAGCTATGGCCAGAGCCTGGACACCAAGGACCTAAGCCCAGCACAGGTGAACTGAATGGGAGTCCCTCAACTCCTCTGGGCCTCAGTTTCTCTCCGAGGGTAGCTATGAGCATCAGATAAAATGCAGCGTGCACGCACTGTGGAAAATGCCCCAACGCACCTGTCAGCCCCTGCACCTGAGGCTCCTCCCCTCCTGCCCTCTGTACCTGGCCAAGTTGGTCAGCCGTTCACAGCAGGTGTGCTGCTGAGCATGGGCAGAGGCAAAGCAGCTTTGAACTCTGCTCACCTCACAGCCTGGCACACAGAAAGCTGTGAACTCTGCTCACCTCCAAGGACAGGGGTGGGGCTGAGGGCAGGATTGCTCTTCTGGGGAAAGAGGAGGGCAGGATCGAGGGTCAGGTGTCCTGGGTCCATGCTGAGGCAGGATGACTCAGTAACATTCCCACTCCCCTCCCCTGAGACAGCCAGCCACTATTCCTAGGCCTGGAGGGGAGGCAAAGCCAGCATTTGCTGAGGGCCTACTATGTGCCCATGCTTCGTAGGGTGTTATTGAGTCTACTGTGTGACACACCGAGAGTTAAGTCACTAGCTCGATGTTGCATGAGTGTATTCATTTGCTAGGGCTGCCATAACAAAGTACCAGAGACTGAGTGGCTTAAACACCAGACACGTGTTTCCTCGCAGTGCCAGAGGCTGGAAGTCGGAGATGGACGTGTCAGCAGGGCTGGCTTCTGGAGGCCTTTGTCCTTGGCTATAGATGACCATCTCCATACTCACAGGGTGTTCTCCCTCTACATGTATCTGCATCCAGATTTCTTCTCCTTATCAGGACAATGGTCATACTGGATTAGGGCCCATCCAGCTGACCTCATCTTCACTAAATTACCTTCATCCTGAGCCTCTATGTAAGTGAAGCAATTCAGAGCACAGGCTGTGAAACCAGAGGGCCTGGATTCGAGTGTCAGCTCCACCACTTACTGGCTCTATGAACTGAGAAGTTGCTGAATAGCTCCATGCCTCAGTTTCCCTCTCTGTAAAATGGGGATGATAACAGTAGTGTCTTCCAGATAGAATTGTGAGGATTAAATGAGTTAAGATAAGAATCTGATCTTGCCCATTGTGAGCTTCAGCTAAGTTGTTAACTTTAAGTTTTATTTACTGGGGCCACTCCTACACATGCCAACAGCACAAAAACTGTGTGTCACATCTCTGCCTCTCTCTCACTGTGTGGGCTTGGACAACCAGTTTCCCTCTCTGAGCTTCAGCCTGTAAAATGGGGGTAGGAGCCCCACCTCCCAGGGTCACTTTGAGCATCAGATGTGACCACAGCATAAACACTGGTAAATTCTCTAAGAATGTTTCATCCCTGTAGTGACACCAGAAATGAAAATGAAAGCATGCCGACAAAGTATCCTTTTTCCTTTCTGCTACAGGGCCTGTCCTGCAGCTCCAAAATGAGGACTTAGAGCTGGCTAGGGTGGGAGGGAGGATCTCAGCTTAGCCATGGGTGGTTCACTGACCCTGGCCGCTTACCAGGGGCTTAAGCATCCCTCCTTTGCAAAATCGTTCTGGAATGTCTGCTCTGAGAGCACAAAGCTGGTGAACTTTCTTCACCCCTGGCAGGACACCTGGCTCTGATCAGGTGGTGGCCTTAGGTACACACACTTACACAACTGTGCACGGCCTGGCCCTGCCCTTTTACCCCGTCTTCTCTCTCCTGCCCTCACCTCCCTCCTCCTGCCCTCACCTCCCTCCTCCTGCCCCTTCCATTCTCTGCTTTCTGTGTGTCCAAACTAGACCACCCCACTTCCTCCCTTCAAGGCCTGGTTTTGAGGACAGACCCAGCTCCCAGGTCTGTCACTGGAGACACCTAGGATTTCAGTCTTTGGGGAGAAGGGGAGGGGCATTCTGAGTAGTGGAGACAGCCAAAGCTAAAGCTTACAGGATGGAAAGTGCTGCCGTGTTTGGGGCCTGTCACCTAGTACGGGTGACCATTGGCTGTGCCTGGGAGGGGGCAGATGTGTGGTGGGCAGTGAGGCTGGATGGGCATATGGGACCTCACCTTGTGGTCCACAAGGACGTGGAGAGGTGGAGGCTGGAAGGGGCTGGGTCAAAGCCCTTTTGGGCAGCATTCTTCATGGAACCAGGGCTCCCTTGAAGGGTCCAGCATGGCCCAACACAGTATGGCACAGAGGACCTACCAGCAGAGGCAGAGGACAGGCAGTGTGGAGGGTGCTCAGGGACTCTCAGGCCCAAAAGCCTGAGGTGCAACTCTGTCGTGCCACTCACAAGCCATACAACCTTAGTCAAAGCATTGTCCCTCTCTGAACCTCAGTTTCTCCATCTATAAAATCAGACTAGTAATTGCACCCACCTTGTTGTAAACACTCACCAAGGTGGCAGTTGTGACATTTTGCACAGTGCCTGGCCCACAGCAGGAGCTCTGTAAATATTAACCCCTTCCCCATCACCCTCCAGTCTCAGCCCTGAGGGCAGCTATGTGAACTGATTCACCCCTGCTATTCACCAAGGTTCACTGAACACCTGTCTCCATAATTCTTGTTATAAGAGATCGTTATAAATAAACACTTACTAAGCAACTACTATGCATCCAGAATCACATGAACCACTTTACATAAATGATTTCATTAAATCCTTTCCACTACCTTGCAGGGTAACAATTTTCTTCATTTTACAGAAAAGGAAATAATCTTTAAAGGACTCACCAGGAAGTGGCAAAGCCAAGATTTAAACCCTGTGAGAGGTCACAGCTGGAGATACAGATTTGCAGTTTTTCTGCATCAGGAAACAACTGAACGTGGGGGAGGGGGGAGTGGTCCCAGAAAACTTCCCATTGTAAACCGTTAGTGGGATGTGAAATCAATTTACAGGGACATGACCACCATTGCTATTCCTAATGGAATAGAATGCAGTAGAAAGGAAAATACCAGTCCGTATTACATGCAGCAAGGGTGAGTACTGTCTGCCAAGCTTGTGTTTCATACACACACACACACACACACACACACACATACATATATATTTCCCCGGTTGTGTGATAACATGCGTATCTTACTATGGACTAACTTTTTTAAAAAATCTGAAAATCTCTTAACGGAACTTGTTTGCTTAAGGCCAGGACTGATTCTAATGTGCTCTGAAGTAACCTTCTGTGGGGTAACATTCTAAAGTTCTGTTTGTCTTGGGACAGAAGGTAATAAATTGAGCACATAGCCCTTTGCACACAGTAACGTAATCACACAACAACCCAAGCGTGATAACAAAGTTCCCCGGAGTTCACTGGCCCTCCGAACGCTTGACCTAGTCAAGAGCCTTCTGGGTCATGGTGATATCTTCCCCTACAGGGGGGCAGAGGACTTTGTCAGCTGAAATCACCCTGCAAATACTTGTTATTAATAAGATGTTTCTACTCAGGTCAGTTCGTGGCAAAAATAGGACTGGAATCCTGTGTGCTGCCCTGACCTCCAGTCGGGGGCTCTGTGCCTGGTGTAGTGCTAAGACACAGGGAGATGATGAGCGAGGGAGAAACAGTAGGGTCTGCATGATTGGCAAGGGCTGATAGGCCAAAGGGAGGGAGAGAGACCAACAGAGGACAGACAAGCCGGGGAGGGGATGAGTCCGCAGGCCTGTGTGGGGACGGTGGGGAAGGCAAGAGAGAATTGCCAGGCCTCTGGGAGACCAACAGGCTAACAGGAGGACACAAGGGTCCCCAGTGCTTGCCCTCCCTCCCTGGGTCCCCCCCACCAGGACTCCCTCAGATGAGCACCTGACAATGAAGACACCATCTGTGGCTCCCATGCATGTGGCACCAAGGCCTGTCACCTCAGCCTACCCACGAGACTCCACGTCCTGAGAATTGCTCCCCTTCTTTCAGACCTATCCTTCCCTGGGCACCTGTACCTAGCCACGCTGAACCACTTTTCGCTCCACAACCTCTAGTGTGGTCTTTGTTCATGCTTCTCCTTCTGCCTAGAAGGGCCCTCACTTCTTCACTAAGCCCACACTCCCAGCCCTCTGTGCCCAGCAGGACTCTCTCAGCCAGGCCCTCCCTCAGGACACTTTGCCTGATGGCTCTGGCCAGCACCGTGACCCTCTCTGCTCCGAATGTTCTGCACAGATTTCTAGTGGGCACCCAAAACTCTTCAGGACCTAAGGTATATCTGTGTCAGTGTGCCCACCCCAACTGTAGGCTCCTGGAGCCCAGCGCAAGATTCAACATGTGTCAGAGGTTCAGCAGGTAAACATTTGTTGGATGGATGGATGGATGGATGGATAGAGAGTAAAGACAGTAGGACACACGGATGGAAGGATAGGATGGGTGAGAGGGAATACATAGTGATGTGTGCCATGTAGAGAAGTAAACAGAGCTCTTGACTGGGAATCTGGCTTTCCTGCTCATTAGCTCTGTGACCTTGGACAAGTCACTCTCTCTCTCTGCACCTCAGTCTCCCACCTGCAAAATGAGAAACGTGTTGAGGTTAAATGCCTGATATCCGATCCCCAAGGCCCTCCAGCTCCCATGTTGATTTCATGGTGCCTGGAGCATCACATCCTGTCAGAACATGCAAGTCAGCTTAGCTCCTGGATGCAGGGATGGGGCAGAGGTTTCAGGCTCAGAGGAAACCTGGAAGCAAAGCTGGGGAAGGGCAGTGCCTCTAGTGTAGACCTGGCCTTCTGGAACTAGACCAGCTCTGGCAGCTGCTCAGGAGACAATTTGTTCCTGGCCTCCTTGCACCACCACCAAACTAGGAAATTTGGAGGGAAGGTTTGGCAGATTTGACCTAACAGCCTACTGCCTCTTTATAGGTTACAGTCTCCTGCCCAGAAAGTGGACCAGAGATCCACACGTGGCTCCAACTGAGGGAGCCTCCCTCTCTACTGTGTCCCCTCCCCCAACCAAGGGCCAAAGCCACCTTCCATTTTTTTCTCTTTGTGCCTTCCAAGACTCCCACATCTCACACTGTGCTCTCCTGGGCTCTACACGTTAGCTTCTGCCTCAGTTTCCCTGTCCAGTTTCTTTTGTTGTTGTTCAGGTTTTTTTTATTGTGGTAACATGTAACATAAAATTTGCTGTCTTAGCTATTTTAAGGGTACAGTTCAGTGGTATTAAATACATTCATAATGTTATGCAACCACCAACACCATCCAGCTCCAAAATTATTTTCATCTTGTAAAACTGAAACACTTTACCCATTAAGTGTATGTCTATTAGATCTAGTTGGTTTATTCCTTACTTATCTTTTGTCCAGTCATTCTATCCATTATTGAGAGTGGGGTATTGAAATCTCCAACTATTATTATAGAACTGTTTATTTCTCCCTTCAATTTCGTCAGTTTTTTGCTTATATTTTGATGGTCTGTTACTAGGCACATAAATGCTGATAATACCTTCTTGTGATATTGAAACATCTGTTTTTTTCCTGAGACAGGGTCTCATTCTGTCACCCAGGCTGGAGTGCAGTGGTGCAATCTTGGTTCACTGTAACCTCCATTTCTGGGGCTCGAGTGATCTTCCGGCCTCAGCCTCTGGAGTAGCTGGGATTACAGGCATGAGCAACCATGCCGGCTTATTTTTGCATTTTTTGTAGAGACAGGATTTTGCCATGTTGCCCAGGCTGGTCTTGAACTCCTGAACTCAAAGCAATGCACCTGTCTTGGCCTCCCAAAGTGTTGGGATTACAGGCATGAGCCACTGCACCCAGTTGAACCTCTTATATAATATCCTTCTTTGTCTTTTATAAACTTTGTGTAAAGACTATTTTGTCTGATATTAATATAGCCAACCCTGCTCTCTTTTGGTTACTATTTAGTTGAAATACATTTTTCCATCCTTTCACTTTCAATCTATTTGTGTTTTCACAAGTATCTAAAGGGAGTCTCTTGTAGAGAGCAGACAGTTGAATCATGCATTTTTATCCATTCTGCCAATCTCTGTCTTGATTGGAAAGTTTAGTTCATTTACAATTAAAGTAATTACTGATAAGGAGGGATTTGCTTCTATTATTTGCTATTTGTCTTCTACATGCCTTATAGAGGATTTTTATTTGTTGGTTGTTTGTTTGTTTTGTTTTTTGTTTTTTGAGATGGAGTTTTGCTCTTGTCACCCAGGCTGGTGTGCAATGGCGCAATCTTGGCTCACTGCTTCCTCCACCTCCTGGGTTTATGCGATTCTCCTGCCTCAGCCTCCCTAGTAGCTGGGATTATAGGTGCCCACCACCATGCCTGGCTAATTTCTGTATTTTTAGTAGAGAGGGGGTTTCACCATGTTGGCCAGGCTGGTTTCAAATTCCTGGTCTTAGGTGATCTACCTGCTCAGCCTCCTGAAGTGCTGGGATTACAAGCATGAGCCACTGTGCCTGGTCAATAGAGGTTTTGTACATTTCCTACAACACTGTCCTCTTCTGTGTTTAGTTTTTTTTTTTGTAATAAGACATTTCAATTCTTTTCTCATTTCCTTCTGTGTATATTCTATAGCTTTTTTCTTATTGTTAACATGGGGATTATATTTAACATCCTAAAGTTATAACACTCTAATTTAAATCTATACCAACTTAACTTCAATAACATACACAAACTCTGTTTATTTTGTTTTATTTTATTTTTTAGAGACAGGATCTCACTATGTTGACCAGGCTGGTATTTAAATCCTGGCTTCAAGTGATCCTCCCATCTCGGCCTCCCAAAGTGCTGGGATTAGAGGCATGAGCTACCGTGCCCAGCCCATAAATTCTGTTTCTTTAACATATTCCATCCCCAGGCCTTTTGGTGGTGGTTTTCACAGAATTATATCTTTATTCATTGTGTGCCCAAAACCACAAACTAATAATTATTTTAAATAATTAGCCTCTTAAATTATGTAGAAAACAAAAACTGGAGTTACAAACCGTTGTTACAATACTAGCTTTGTAATTGCCCACATATTTATCTTTATTGAGACCTTTATTTCTTCAAATGTCTTTGAGTCCCTGTCTAGTGTCCTTTATTTCACCTGCAGGACTCCCTTGCGTATTTACTGCAGAGCAGGTCTAATGGTAAACTCTTTCAGCTTTTGTTTATCTGGGAATGTCTTAATTTCTTCCTCACTTTTAAAGGATGGTTTTGCCAAATATAGGATTCTTGATTGACAGTTTTT